AAAAAAAAAAAAAAAAAGAACTGCCAGGTGTGGTGGCACACGCCTGTAATCCTAGCACTTGGAAGGCTGAGGCAGGAGAATCATCACGAGGTCGAGACCAGTCTGGGCTACAAAGTGAGCTCAAGGCTGGCCTGAACTGCATAGCGAGACCCTGTCTCAAAAAGACCAAAAAAAAAGGATTATTTTACAATATTCACTCAAAAAGTCAAATGAAGAAGAGTGTAAGAGATTTGTACACGCACTAGGGACTCAAGCAGTCCAGCTGAGGGCCTGGATTCCACGGCAATGTCCCGCATGAGTCCAACTAAAGACCTAGAGCCCATGGCAGTGTCCCCAAGAGTTCAACCAGAGGCCCATAGCCCATGACAATGTCTCATACAAGTCTGTACCAAGGATCTGCACTGAGGCCAGTAGTGGAAGCTAGAAAGTCTGCACCAGCGGGATGAAGGAGCTGTGCCAGCCCACTGAGGGATCTGCATGGGAGCCAGGAAGCGACGCTCAAAGTAAGAACCAGAGCTCCCCCAAAGAGAACAGCAGCCATCCTCAGTGACGGCGAGGACCTGAGCTCCTCTGATGATGAGAACAGCCGAGTTCTTATCAGGAAAACCAGCACCACAAGCTTCTCCAGGGGAATCAACAGCGCACCATCTTCCTCTCCAGTTCTGCTTTTTTGTTATTGGCAGCAGTCCTCAGGTGGGCCTTCCACACCCAGCACCTCGCTGACTCAGTTCAGCTGGGTGTTACAAGCTGACCATTAGTTAATCCACCACGGCCTATTGTGAACGGTGCTGCTGTGAACACTTATATACAAGGTGTAGTGTGAGCATATGCTTTCATTTCTCTCAGATATAGACCTAGGAGCGGCACTGGTAGATCACACAGTAATTTTAAGCCTAACTTTCCGAGGAACAGCTAAGCTCTCCCTCAGGATAAGGATTCTGGTTTCTCCACAACCTCATGACACAGCTTCCCTTTTCCTTTCTATACAGCCGTCCTAGTAGGTATGAAGCAGACTGTCGCTGAGGTGTTGGTTTGCATTTGCCTAGTGAGTGAGCTCTGCATCTTTTCCTGTGCTCACTGACCTTTTCTACATCTCTGGAGAAATGTCTATTCGATGCTGCTCCTATCTTTTACACGGATCCTTTGTCTTTTTATAAAGTTGTACTGCTCATTTATGTATTCTTAATATATATAAATAAGTGGGGTGAGGAGAGAGCACTGTGGGTACAACTGGGGCTTTGACAGCCCTTGGGGCTGGAGAGAGGGTCAGCAAAATCAAGCTACAGCGCTGTGTGCAGAATATCAGCCAAAAAGAGAGCAGGGTTAGCAGTGTCCGTGTCTTGGTTACTTTATTCTCACTGCTGGGACAAAATACCTGACGCCCAAAATGAAGGAAGGAAAGGTTTATTTCACTTACAGTTTGTGGAAGTTTCAGTCCATACTTGGCAGATTATAAGGCAGAGTGGCACATGGCAGAGAGCTACAGCTCAGGGCGGCAGAACACAGCTAAGCTGCAAGCACACACCAGGGCGGAATGGGGGAGAAATGGCCTCAAGCAGCTTCTTCCTCTCCCTTACATATGCAAACTATCTACCCCAGGGTGGGTGTAGCTCTCACACCCACAATCATTCAACTCTAATAGCCTGCCCCACGGTCGCATGAGGCTTTGGAGGGGACACACAGACATAAACCATAACAGTCCGCTAAAGCTGCATAATAAAACCTCAGTGGCTTCAAAGAACAAGCACAACTATGCCCCACACACGTAAAATCAGCAGGCGGCAGATCTGCGGGTCAGGCCAGGTTTGCCGGGTCTCTGCTGGGCTTGCTCATGGCTCTCAGTCAGCTCGGGATTCTGGGTGCAGCTGGTCTAGGTCAGCCGTGGCTGGAACGACTTCTCTCTGCCCTGCAGGGTCACCCTCCCCGTGGCAGCCAGGCAGGGATCCAAGAAAGGCAGAAGCAGGCAAGTCCTCCTGAAGTCTAGGCTCCCAGCCAGCACATTCTAGCTGGAAAGCTCGGGTTCAAGGGAAGGGAGATGCCACCCCCATGTTGGTGAGGTGGCTGTGAGGTCCTCCTGCAGCAGCGGGCACAGAGTGGGCTCCGTGGGCCACTTTGGCTTTGGCTGTCCTCCTCCCTCAGAACTAGCACTTTCTACCACTCCGGTGCAGCGCTGCACCTCAGATACCCTCCCGGGAACTCATGAAGTCACCCAGGTGAAGTTTACAGGTGAGGGGTCCCCAGCGCAGCTGCTCAGGCTCTGTGTGGCACGGCTGCTGTCTGGAACCCAGATGAGAAGTGCAGTAGCTTGGGTATCCACTGTCCCCCTCCACCAGGTGTTCAAGGCGCGGTCCCAAGAAGGGTGCTATGGGAGGTGCCTGTGGACCGCTAGGAGGCAGGCTCAGTGGGAGAGCCTCAGGCCACGAGGGTGCCCCAAAGGGGCTGCAGGGCTCCAGCTCCCTCCTGGCTCATGACATCCCCACCATTGCCGTTCAGCACCCCCATCTGAGGCCCAAGCTCGCCCCCAGCTGGGCTGCAACCTACAGCTGAGAGCCCAGTGAGCCTTTTCTCTTTATAAGTTCGTTTTGTTTGGGATTTCATCTTAGTGTAACACGAAGTGACTAAAATAGGAGACTTCCAAGTCTGTGCGCCTATCCATCCCACAGTTGCTATTCCTCAGTCACGTACCAGGGCCTGGGCACCAGGCTGAGCACCTCGCACGGGATAGCAAGGAACCCTCAGCCCTCTGAGGCAGAGATAGCCACTGCCTCCATTGTCCAGATGAGGAAACTGAGGCTCGGGAGCAGGTGAGACACAGAGGCCGGGTGGGAACCCAGGGCCTCCTGCCCCTGACATAACTGCCCTCCCAGCCTCATGGGGCCACACACCCAGTGCTCTTTGCAGGATGTCTGAGCCCCTGCTTCCTCTGGGTAACCAGGCCTGGTAGGTGAGACCTCTAGGTAGAGCTGCTGTCACCTGCGCTGTGGGGAACAGTGTTGAAGGGCTGATTTCAGTCCAGCATGCTGTGCACTTTTACTGAAGTGAGGTAACTAGTCCAAAGCAGTCCCCACACCTGCTCCCTCCTCCCCAACCTCAGAGGTGGCCGAGGTCTCAGATCTCTTCCTCTGAGAGTTGCCGTCCACTTCCTTCCGCTCTGGGGTTCCTCTGGCTGCAGACACGAGCTATGGACTTCCTGTGTAGACAGACAAGGACCCGGCACGTTGGCAAGACTCAGCCACCTGTCCCCTGCTTCCCACACAGGAGCTTCTTACTGGTGGTGGCTTTTGTGATTGTCTTTGTGACATAAAGGGATGCGATCTCAGCCTCTGCTTCTTGCCCTCATCAGGGAGACAAGGTGCCCGGACTGCCCCCGGCCAGCTGAGGAGCTGAGCCCCACCTCAGCCTGAGGCTCACCTTCTCTCCCTCCCCCTCACTTCCTTCTCACCTCTTACTCTCCCTCGCCCCTTCCGACTTATGGAGACTACTGACATGCATATTCAGCACTGCAGCATAACTGAATCATCTGTGCTCCTCTGTGATTTGTTTTTGAAACCAAAACTCAGCGAGTGGTGTTTACATGGTGGTGGCTCCAGCAATATTGAAAACTGAGGGTGGGGCCTGTTTTTATTAGGCGGTGCTGTGGCCTGACTGCATCCTCCCGCCCCATCGGCAAATTCATATGTTGAAGCCCCAACCCCAGGGTGACGATGAGGCCCCTGGCAGTGGCCAGGTTTGGATGACAGCTGGGGGCTGGGACCCTCATGATGGGGCCAGTGTCCTAATAAGAGATGCCAGAGAACTTGGGCTATCTCTTTCTCTCCCTACGGGGTGAGCACACAGAGAAAATGCCCGTATGCTAGCCAGGCAGAGACTCCCCAGAACCATCCGTGCTGGCGCCCTCATCACCACCTTGCAGCCTCTCAAACTCTGAGAAAGTAAGTTTCTGTTGTATAAACCACCCAGCCTTTGCCGTTTTGTCACGGCAGCCTGAGCTAAACACACAAAAAATCTGTGCTTTTTAAAGGAAGGAATCAGAAAATACAAAACACAAATCACTTGTGTGTCACTGACAGTCCATGCGCTCTAGGCATTTTCTGTGTTATACACAATCACGTATGTTTTCAAAGGGAATCGTCCTATAGCATTATAAAGATTTTTCCTTAATACACTGCGAATACCTTTCCATATCAATAAATAAGTCCTGTGTACCCATGCTTGCCTGCTTCACAGC